CTCAAGGTAATTCTGGCAGCTCTGGGTTTGTTAGATCTCTGAAAGATCATTCATCATATCTGTAAAGAGAAATAAAAGAGTTATGAGTGCTGAGTTGTAAAATATGCTAAACGCATCGAAAGAATAAACATGCTGACAATGTTGTCAGATAAGACATACAATTTCCCATACATGTACACCATTTATGATTCCCAATAAAATTGGACAATATTTATACATTATTAAATAATAAATTACCTGAATGTCAGTTCGACCAGACTGTACATTTGTACTTGGCTGACGGCACTGCTGAGCAGCTCAGGTGATGACAGATGATTGACATCTCGTCATGGTTTTCAAATGTGCGAAAGCACAGCTACAGCAAGGTATCACATGTCAGCCGGTGTAATCATTGTCTATGTATCTGATATTAGACGGTTGTGCTGCATTCTTTGTAGCCTGAGTGCAGGCTGCATGTTACAGGTATGTTACACTGTCTGGAACAGAACCTGATTTCCTTTGTGTATTTCCTTTAAAAGTAAATAAAATGATCAAAATGATGATGAAAATACTGTCAACATGATAACATAAGTCAAAATATCATACACTTCATATTACTAGTAAGCTTATATAGGAAAAGCTAATTTTAAATCTACATTTTACCACCACAATACACACCGACTCTCGCTTGGGGTTAAAATTGTTGTTTTGAAAACACCTCAAAAAGTATATCACAACCCTTGATTTGTCATAATGAAAGACATTTTGATAACATAAGTCTAATATATAGATTGCAAGGTCCTRAATTTCGTGAATTTATTTTAATTTCCACAAACAAAAAGATCTTAAAATAAACAACATTTGAAACTCGCGCCATTACTATACATGTACCTCAAAACATGCAATTCTTTCGGTTTTTCTTACCTTTTGCGGCTTCAAAACGTCCATAAATCGTTTATATACATTTATATGACCGCATTTGGCCTTCTTTTAGCTTTTAAAGCTGTAAAATACAGCATTTTTGCAGCACTTTCCGCCATGTTTTCTAGTTTCCACGTGTTGGACGTGGTATTCTAGTCACGTGATCGGAGACCGTCCACCAATCCCGACAAGTCCCGAGGGTTGTCCCGCAATAAGCGGCCATTTTTGTATGAACAAATTCTAAAATGAATTATTGAAATGATCATAGTGTAGACAATCTTTGTTTTATTAGTGTAGGAAGCGTTTGTTGGTCACCAATTTTGCTATTTGAGCGGAAGAGGTGTAACATCATAATTCTTCCTTCAATAAGTGGTGAAGACGTTTAAGGCCAAAGCCATCCCAAGTAAGGAAAATTATGGGATTTTTTCCTTCATAAATTCATTCAATTTGCCAAAATCATTGGGGCGTGGGGTGGAGGGTGCATGTCAGACTCCCTTCCCAAACTCCCCCTCCCGCCCCCAGACAAAGATAAATACAGCAGTAAAAGAAGAATACATTCGCCGCGCATGTTTTTTTTATTATATTCAATTATATTAATACAATACATAATATTATACATACAACATTTGCGCAAAACAAGTTCATTGGGTTTGCATTATATGTGATATACTATCAAGTAAGGATGTGTTCCTTCAACAGTGCGCGGAAGTCTGACATCCATACAGTACGTCCCATTTATGCAGGACAACGACTTATTATCGCGTCCACAGCTGATGTGGTTATTGAAGAGTGCTGCATATCATGTACATCGTTTCGTACGTTTCCTCTGTTCCACTAAAAATAAAAATAAAAAACAATTAATTAAAATGATGCAAAATCATTATGAGTTAAGTATAAGATCCACACACAAGAAGTAAATTAATAGTTTCTGTATGCATTTCTTCTACACAAGCCTAAAATCGGTGACATGTCTGGAATACAATGTCTGGAATGACTTCAACGACCAATAATTAAGTACGAATCCATTGTTTAACTAAACTTTCAGCTTTAAATTCAATAAAAATGTCTGCTCTTTGTAAAATCCAAGAGATATATCAAGAACATCAGATAAGTAAAAGGCATTACATCGAGCAGATGAAAAATAAACCCTAATCATTCCATTTTCTTACCTTTTTTGGTTCCTTAACTTGTATAAAACATTCAAATAGTAATTTCAACTACATTTAGCTCTTCCCCTATATAAAAAAATAAAAAAATCATCTATTTTCGAAGCACTTCAGTGTTTGACTCTTCTTGCACGTGCAGAACGTGTAAACTGGTTACGTGATAGGAGGGACTGGGCACTAGTGCCGCGCGAGGATATTGCACATGTAAAGTTTCAGCGCGCGTGTAAAATGACTTCGACATATTGTCAAAGCGTCATCTTCAGTGCAGATCTATTATGTATGTAAGTACTTAAAATTTGCGTCAAAGACTGTGGTATCGGTTTGGGTTTAACTGGTCTTGGGGTTGGCATTAGGGCTTGGGGCTAGCTGCCACTAGGGTTAGAGTTGGTTAGAGCTATTAGGGTTATTGCAATGGTGACTAACCCTAATGTCAGTTAACCCCAAACCCTAACGCTAACCCTAACTACAATCACAAAAGTTTTGAGCTAACCCTAACCCCATATACTAACCCCATACCCTAGCACAAGCCCTATTTTTAAGAAAGTTTCTTAAAAATTGCGATTAGTGTTAGTAATTATGACGACACCGTTATGACGATACGTTCAGTGACGTACTCACAATTATCTTTGATAAGAGCTTGATTGGATAATTATGATAATTTATGCACATAATTTATATTACTTGATGTGATTTTTTAGACATTGGGGAGGGGAAGGAGGATACATTCAGTATCATATATCAGGGAGGGAGGGGAGGGGGGACACCAAATCAGAAAGAGATTTGTTTAAAATATTGGTCAAGTTTTTATCAAAACAAAATAAATGATATGATTCATGTATTTCACTTTTCTTTATTAACAATATAACTAAACAATATACACAATTACAACTACACAATTGACCCAAAAAATGAATATCATAATTCCAATATATATTTCATTAGCTCAGAACTAATCTCGTAACAAATAAGTGCAGCTTATTACATACCACTTACATCACGATTCAGTTTGAGGGTGAATGTTGGTCCGCTTCCATTTACACCAAGTTGAGTTGCTTTTTGCATCAATAAAAACATATTGAGTAAGTATTATATAGTACTATAAGCATATTGCGAGCAACATGCATTTGCTATACGGGTATGTGCCGCTCGAAAGGGTCCCTTTTTCGGAGCTCCAAGTCTGGGATAGGGTATCATTTTTTGCCCATTTGGATAGGGTAGTCATTTTGTCTGGGATAGGGTAGTAGTTTTGTCCGGAATAAGGTTAGTTTTTTGACTAGGATAGGGTATAGTCTTATTGTCTTGGGTAGTGTGGAGTTTTACCTGTGATCGCATCTGCTAGGCCACGCTTTCAGCCATAAAATAATGTACCTTTAGTCTGGTTTTAGGGGTGAGGCGATGCTCTGTTTCCTGTGATGCGCTAAACTTGGATGGTAGAGATGTGATGGGAGAGATGTGGCACAAGGGATCATTACTCTTATCATATCATGGGGTCTTTGACGATTCTTCATGATATGGAAAAATTCAGTGTTATTAAATCATTATATATATTATTAATCTTTAAAAAATAGAGCAAATAAGACGAAAAACATGCATCAGCTTGCTATCAGCTGTAATTGTAGTAAGTTGCTCTAAGGCGAGTTTTCATTCATCAGTACTAACGGAACAGCACTGGATTTTTAATTATTTTTTAATAAAGCCACGCTGTCAAATGAACAGAGGTAAGGTGTTCATTTATTACATCCATTATCTTTATATTGCTATAGATTGTTTACAACTGAACCAGAYCATAAGTCAAGAAGTAGAAAAATATGATCATACTAATCTATTACCATAAGTCAATTAATTCCTTTTTTAGCTAATAATCACTTTGCGATAAATCAGCMGAATTTTCCAAGTCATAATCCCGGAGAATTTACTCCTGAAGATCATGATTTTCAACAATTCATCTACGAGTTCATCTAATGTTAGTACTTCTTTGTGGATATATAACTTACTTTGGGCAATTCCCTTYTCTCTTCAATTTATCTCCTCTATTATCGGAAATCTCTTSATYGTATGGATAGTSTACAAGGACAATCGATTGAAAACAACCACAAATTAYTTAGTSGCCAATATGGCTGCTAGTGATCTTCTKGCTGGGGTTTTCTTGTTTCCGAGGGAGATTGGTTCCATAAYGTTCGAGGATAAATGGTTGGTTGGTGGAGACATTGGCAACGTTTTGTGCAAGATAAGTTATTTCATTTACAATATTTCCCTTATTATCTCTGTATGTAGCTGTATTTTCATTGCTGYTGAYCGYTACTACGCCGTGGCTCATCCCCTCAWGAAACCYCTTCAAACRAAGATAAAACTCATAATTCTTGGGATTTGGATTTTGTCGATGGCACTTTGTATACCCTATTGGTACTTTTATCGCGTTTTTGGATGGCGCTGTGGAGTTCCTTYACATATCAASTCAGTATATTTGATCTACGAGTTGGTWTTGATATYTCTGACTTTAGTTTTACCAGTAATACCTTTAACGCTCTTCTATGTTTTAACTGTGTGTAAACTTTATCAACACAAAGCTCCTGGAGAGACTACAGACATGACAAGAAGACGAAGAGAGCAACAAAACAAGCAAGTGTTAAAGATGTCTATCACTATTCTTTGCCTTCTTTATCTCAGCCTAGGTGTCAACTTCACTTATTTTATCCTTGTTTTCCTGAATATCCTTAAAAATATATCACTTCATCGGATCTTTATTTTCATATTCTACATGATCACGGTATACAACTTCTATATTTATCTCATCTTTAATGGAATCTATCGCGAAAACATTAAAAACATGATTGGTAAGTGCTGCTGCCCTGGTCGTTTGAACCGAACAATTCCTCAAGCGCCAGCAGTCGTGGAGTTGGAAATGAAGGGAATTGATGGTGCTGATCAAAACCCCAACATGTGCTGGAAGAGATGTTGGGCTCCATCCACAAGCACTGAGCACTTTTCATTATGCTTTCAGCACAAACGTGAACGACAAATTAACGCACAGTCGCTGTAATACAAACTGATTAAAAACATGCATTATGGCCGGTTGTACGGTTGGAGGAAGAACAGCTGTTGGAGAAGAAACTGCCAGGAGAGACCTTCCAGCTCTGCGCATGACACATATATAAATAATTGATGTATAATAAAATGATTGACATATACAGTATATAAAGACAGGTGTTATATCGACTTCATTCACAGGGTCTGATTGGTCAATATCATAGCGCGGATATGAAATATTCTTTTCAGTCTCTAGTGCTATAAAAACCCTAAAACCGAAATACGGCAAATAACGAAATATGTTTATCCGCTAAAGTATATTGCAAGAAAACTTTCTTGTGAAAATTGCCTAGACCTCGACTTCTACACGGGAGGGGAAGGGRATTTTAAAAACAAAGGGAAAAAGAATTCATTCTTGAACATGTGACCTTGGCWAAGAAGGGTGAGCGCGTTGCTATATTTTCAATTCGAACGAACGTTTTGCGTRATCCCGGCCTTTTATGTAATAATACTCCATGCTGTCCACCTACGAATTGGGTGTGGAAAAGTCTAAAGATTGAAAAATTGGAAGAAGACATGGACCGAGTCTTAAGCGTGGATTTCACTAGCGCATAAGCACAGGCATAAGCACGAAGCACGAGAGTCATATGCACCAGTGAGAACGGGCTCAAAATAAGCATAAGCATGAGCACAAGAAAAACGAGCAAGGCTTGATCTTCTTGTGCTTATCTCATGCTTATCTCATGGTTACGCTCAGTGAGAACGGGACTGCATAGGCATAAGCATAGCCTGGTACCGAAATAATACGCTCGTGCGCATGCTCAATGTCTTATGCTTATGTTGAGCCCGTTCTCACTGGCGCATATGATTCTCATGCTTGTGCTTATACTATGCTTATGCGCTAGTGAAATCCACGCTTTAGACAGTATGGAGTCTTAAAATCTATCAATTATATGCACACATTTCTACCTGTCCAATTGAGAAAGTAAATTTATAAAAGTGAAAAAGTGAAAGTGCATTTATAATTAATACGGAAATCGGAGGTGTTGAGTATTAGTTTGAAAAAGGTTTTCCCCATTGCTCAAAGTTTTGTGAACTCAAACACTATATCTTTTTTCAAAATCTGGGAATATATGA